TAAATAAACTTCCTCTTCCATAGAGAAGCATAGTAAGTGTAGAGAAAGGAGAAATACTCCAGCAGGTTTTGGGTTTCATATCGTAAGATTTTAATATTATTCCAAGCTGTGTACAATTTTACTAGCATATTCAAATTCTAAAGTTATCTTATGGGAATAATTTAGTTACACATTCTCCAATTAATAATCTTGCATGGGGCACAAAGTTTAAAGGTAATCTTATTAGCCTGTAAAATCTCCACTCTGCCTACTTACTCTTACAGTGCTGAACATATTAAAAAATGTATTGACCTAAAAACAACTTGAAGTGAAAATATGCTTAAGATGACATCAATAGTCTTCCTTAAGCAATACAGATTTAATTAGGGAATAAAATATTCACTATTTTTAAATTCATTTCTCTAAGAAACATGCTATATGTATATTATAAAACATGTTTGGAAAACTTTGTAAAATTCAGAGTAACACCTCTAGTAATGAGGTGTTAAAGCTAAGTGAACACAATATTCCTCCAAAGTTTTCCTTTAGCATTCAGTGAATGGATTTCTTATTCTAAGTTACTTTTCTTAAAAAACCCCAAAAAACTAAGGTTTGAAATGATCAATTCCAGAGGAGACATATACCTAACACAAAACTTAACTGACCAAATTGAACTTTATAAATACTACTTAAAAGCAACATAGGTGAGCCCTATTATTTCTTTCATTCTTTAAAGCTTACAAAGGAGAGGGTTTAAGTTGACTAATTTACAACTCCAATGCTTTATTCTTATTATAGTATTACAGATTTATTTGAGACATTAAGAACTCAGGAAGATCTTAACTGCTTTAGGCAAAAAAAGCCCCCTCATATCAAACGTATTAATGGCAGCCATAAATAAAATGCAGAGGCCAAATGTACAGTAACAACACAGCTGCAAACACTACAAGAAATACACTATACATCCTCAAGCCTTGAGACAAAGATGGCAGACAGGTTCCAACTCATATGTCAAATCCAAAAGATTAAGTGGCCACCTCTAACACAAGATTGGGAGACAATTTGGCCAAAATGGATCAGGAAGGCCTGCCATGGGCACAAGAGTGTGGGAGCCTGTGTGCACTACTCTTGCCCTTGGCCTTATGCTGACAAGGACTTTGTACTGAAATACTTCTGTTTCCATTACGGACAAGGTATTTTTCATGGTTGTTTCACATCAGAAAATGCATCCTGACGTGAAATATAACAAAATATGCAAAATCAAGGGAAACTTTTTTGTTTTTGCTATGTCTGACAAAACAAACAATAAACCTAATATGAGTTTTCTAGAAAACACTATCTAATGGATGGCTTTGGTTAAAATAACCAGGGTTACATTTTTCAAATGCTCTTCTTACTCATCTGGAAAATTCAGGGTTATATATAAATATGTTATATATATGTATATATATGTGTGTGTACATATATACACACAGTTTTAGGAGAAAACACTAGAATTTCAGCTTGGTATTTTAAATAATGTCAACTATGCATGTTTATTTGTAAAACTTCCCATAGTGAAACATGTTACAGTTACCTATAAACATTCATTTTTCACTATTTACAATTTGAATAATTATGGAATGGTTGTATAATGCTGGAACCAACTGGGTTATAGAAAAGTCACACAAACAATATAAATCTGATGCCTTATCCTTTACAAATATGAACTTACTTTCACTGGGTTTTCAAACTGTCAAGTATAAATAGGATGAGGTCAGCAATACTTAAGATGAGGCACTTTAACAATTTTAGTTTACAAAATGTAAAACAAAAAGGCTGTTAGTTTACAAAAACGTAAAACAAAACTCTTAAGATATTAATCTTGGGGCCAGCCAGGTGGTGTAGTGGTTGGGTTCACCGGTTCCACTTCATCGGCCTGGGGTTCACGGGTTCGGATCCCGGGCACAGACCTACACGCTGCTCACCAGGCCATGCTGTGGCAGCGTCCCACGTACAAAGTAAAAGAAGATTCACACAGATGTTAGCTTAGTGACAATCTTCCTCAAGCAAAAAGAGGAAGATTGGCAACAGATGTTAGCTCAGGGCCAATCTTCCTGAGCAAAACAAACAAAAAACAGAAGATATTAATTTTATCCTTAATTTCAGACATGATTAATCTGAGATGGTCTATATTAAGGAGTGTTACAAACTTTTATTTCTTGCCCTTCTGCCTCCAGTTGACCCAAGGCAACATAACTGAAATACATGATATAGACATCACCACAGGCCAGTTATGTGCTTACATACAAAGGAACTAAACATTATCTAATGACTCTAGGGTTTCAGAAAGCGACTATTTTTAACACAAAAACTTCTCCACAATTTTTCCATAAATGTGTATAAATACATTGGTCTCCCAAAGGTAAACAGTATCTCAACCATGTTCTTAGACAAAAATGCCCTCAAATGTATTATTTAAATAACTGAATCAAAATTAATAGTCTTATGTACTCTTTTCAAACACAATTTTTAAAATACTCAGAAATTTAAAAATTAAATTTTAATTTTAAAAAGAGAAATTAAATAATTAAAATTTTACCAATACTTTCCAGATTACAGTTTTGAGATCAAAGAAAAAGCAGTAAGAAACAGATTTTTTGCTTTGCCAGCCTTTTGTGAAAGACCTTTTAAACATATACATTTGGTCAATTCATTGTCAACCTTAAATCATATTCTGTGTATTTACATTGATTATTTTTGAAGTTAAGATAATACATACTTGATTAAAAGATACTAATTCCTGTTGCTTCATGAATTCATGGTACCATATTTTCCCCTACCATCAGATTTCAACATACCTCCACTAGTACAGAAAATGGCTGACTTGAATTTTTAAGGTCTTTCCAGAAAGATTAAAATCTGTGGTCCCATTAACTAACAGTTTAGGTGAAAACAGTTAAATTTCATTTAACTTGTGTTTATTTCTGGTAGTTTATAATTTGAGTAATTTCTATTGCCCAGATACCCAAATGCTGTTTAATAAACATATGAGTTAGTACTCATTTGAACACAGTTACCTGTTCCAAGCCCATTTATCAAAATCACTTGCTCTGTGTGTGTGTGTGTGTGTGTGTGTGTGTGCATATGAACACACACACACTCCTTAATTCCCTAAAAGAGTTTTGCTCCTCTAAGGAGAGAAACTGGCTTTTGATCAATATGCTACCAGACACTTAAGTCTCTTCTAAGGTCAAAAGTTGGCCAATTTTCAAATAAATGGAAAGAGAACACACTTATTTAGAATGACAAAAATTGAGCTTGGCAAAAGTAGTGACTTTTATTTACAATTGCATGTATCAAGATTACAATAGAAACACTAGTGATATCATCTGAACAAAAGCAATGATTTATTGGTAATGGCAATGAATGGAATATTGACAGTCTCTGGCGAGAATCAAGCAATTATCCAGGAGCTGTAGATCTGATTGCAACATGGTCTTCCAGTGTCTTTTGTACCTTAGTGGCTTTCACCTTTTTTGCCAACTACCTAGAAAAACAAAAATAACTTTTATATAATCTTATTGATGTAGAAATATGGGTTATTTTCAAAATAATATTACTAATTGGTAATCATCTTTAAAACCAGGTATTAATTTTCATCTCTGCATTTTTTTGGCATGCAGTATATTTTCATTGTTGAAGCAAACTGTGTCCCTCCCTCCCCTCCCAGCCTCAAGAAATTAAAAATAAAACACATGCAGGCTATTTCTGGTTTCCCACACTGTTTTAAGAAAAAGTAATACAATTTTTCAAAACAAGGTTAACAGTTTAGAGAAGTTAATAAAAAAATGATGCTATATAAGTAAAACATATTGGGCATACCTATTTTTAGGCAATTAGAAATCAAATGTCAATCACAAAATAATCTAGAATTAAGATTATGCTAAACTTATGTCTTCATGCCCAAGATGACAGGTTTCTACACTTTTCTCTCAGTATATAGACATGCAATGAAAACAGATTAAAAATGATTAATTTTGCTTAGTTTCCATTTTTAAAACACCCTGGTTGCTACAAACGTACTATTAAAAAATATAAAGAATAAATCTTGTTTCTGTCAATGATTAGAAAATTTCTCTACTGCAGTGGCTTAAAAAACATCCTACTTGCTATAAATGTGGCAAAAAAAATGCAGAGTAAACTTGGTTTCTACCAACAGATTTAGAAAATAAAGCTTCTGCAGGAGTGTTCTATAACTATGTTCTGATTGAATACTTTACTTCAAATCTAAAGGTTATCAATAGATACTGTATTCTCATAGCAGAAATGCCTCTAAAGAAATCTACTCACAAGCTATTGAATATATATTTGTATACAAAAAGATTTCTACGTATATTTGTAAACGTAATTTTCATACTTTATATTGATTCTGTTCTAAATAGCAGTGTGCCTGACTAAAGCAAGACTCATAAAGGTCTTCAGTACATGTCTGGTCTAAATCAGAACATGCCTGGGTCAATGTCATTCATGAGGGAAGATTATAAAAACTTTTTCCACTGAATTCCCAATTACATGATGCTAGAAATACTATTTTCCCCACCTTGAGGAAAACCACTTTTATTACTTTGAAAGAACTCCTCTCTGATCGAAAGAAATCATGTGTTAGAAAGTCCAAAAAGCCAGAAAGATGAAAGAGATAGTTTCATAAAAGAGTATGTGGATGAAAATAAGAAATTTAGGTTTTCAGAGCCAAGGGGAGCCTTCTTAAGAAAGAAGGGGAGGTGGCACTATTTGTATCACAAATAAATTTAAGCAGATAAACACTGAAAGCATTATTCATCATTATATCACTTGGGAACATGCAAAACACAGAGCTATTAGATTAAGCAAAAGAAAACAAAAACAACTAATATTAAAAATTAAAATTTTAGCAGATGTGATACAGAAGACACAAATCTGCATACTGTTTCACAGGTTGATAACTCTCAACTTGCCAATGTGTACTCTCTGTAAAAAAGAAGAAATTCAGCATTCCAATATAGATTTTTCTCACCCCAATGGTAAAGCTCTTTTATTCATTTTTAAGGCTTTATATTACACCTCAGACAAGCAAAAGTCTAGGTACATCAAAATTAGATGCCAAAAAGAATCCAGTGATCTTCTATGTTAATATTTTAACCCAGCCTAACATTCAGTCCATAAGACTTTCAACTGGCCTTTAGCTCACTTGGGTAGGCAAAGCAGAGGACACGCCCACAATTAATCAGCAAAAAAGCTTCTGGCCAACAGTTCTAATGAGAAAAGAAAACTCACATCTCTCAACTACAGCCTAATCAATATATCATACTAGTACTGGTAAAAAAGAACTTGAGGAAACTGTTCATATTGATTTCCAAAATGATTCTATAGTTCCTAAAAAACAAAATTTAAACTTTAGATTGGATTAAAACATTATCCAACAAATAGTTATATCTGAAAGCATTTACAACAACGTAAGTTTTGTAGCAGTATTATTTCTCAAAATGTAGTACAAAATTTAATATGAGACAGGAGAAAGTTAAAAAAATAACAAGTCGGGGGAGCAACATGGTATGGTAATGAAATTAAAGCACACCTAGTTGCAAGCCCAAAACAAAACCAAAACAAAACAAAAGGCCAATTGAGAAACATGACTAGAATGTGATGTGAAGAGAGAGATGGTTGAGGAAATCTAGGTAACAAGGCTGATCCAGATGACAGAAGCTGTAGAAATCTTGCACCAGCAATGGCGAGAACATGGGAAGGGTGAGAGCAGACAGGTGCTAGATGAGCAGAGAAGCAAGGAGGGGAGTAGAGTGAGATAAGGCCAATCTTTATATTACTTCATTTTAAAAAATCTTCTGTTTTTAGTTCATTTGAGTTGGATTAAAAAAGCTGAAAAATAAACAGACAGAAATGTTACAAAAATAGCTGATACGGTGAACGGCCAGTTTAGAAGTCTATTTTTATTACAGTGATAGAAAATCTGCTCTGCTTTTCACATGCACCTCATTCCTTAAAAAGCAGAAGTCCCTTCAATTTTGCTCATTTTTGTACACTTACATTTTATTACTTTTGTATTAAAATAAAGCAACCCATGTAAAGAGCCTATTTTAGCAAAGAAAACATCTACTTCCAATTCAGATGGCAAGCTTCTCATGCCGAAACACAAAGAATCCATTTACAACTACAAACAGCATAAGTGTATATTATAATCTGTGCACAATGCCCATACGAGCCAAAACCAGACAAGTGAAAGGTGTGTACTAGTCTATCAAATCTTAAAAGTATAACCTAATAAAATGGTAATAGCATGCAAGGTGGTCTAAGATTTCTATCCACATCCAAGATTCATCAGCTTTACCTTAGCTTCTGCCATCTTAGTGACATAAGGAGAAGGTCAATGACATTCTCAAAGCTAAAAATTATCTAAAAACAACTCATACAACATAAAAACGTAAACTGAAAATGCTAATTGTATTTTATCATTCATTAAACTATTTTATATGGCTCTCTTCACTACACAAAAAGGTATCAAAACTTTCCTGTCGTGATAAAGTACATACCAAATCTATTTTGAAATTTGAAATTCTAATTACTATGGGTTCCCTTTAAAATTCAGACTAAACAAAGGGAAAGAAGTGCTGTACTTGACCTGTCCTTGAATGAGTCGTGCACCTTCCCACTTTCATACCCAAATTCCATTTCTCCATTCCACCTGGAGTGCCCACTGCTATCTTTTCCTCTATCCATTTCTACTCTCAAAATTTAGTTCAAGGCCCTCTTTCTCCACAAAATATTCTCATGCTTTCTCACCCATTTTGGGGAAGAAGGATCTATCACTGGGCTGGGAACGTAGAAGAGAGAGAATACTCTGTGGAGGAAGAGAACCTTGAACTAAGCTTTGATTAATTTTGATTAACTTTCCAAATGTTTTGCATTATACTTCAAGAATATAAACTCGATATAGACAAGGATCATGACTGTACCTAGAATAGTAATATAGAGACAAGTCCCATACATGTATTTGTTATTTCCTTCACTAGAAACCAAACTCATTTATAACTTCTAACCAGTGACTCTATCCATACAAGGACCAAACCAGCTAATTGCAGTTAAACATAAACTAATTTTTTTTGCAATTTTCCTACATTGAAATTGCTGATTTAGCATAATACAAAAAAAACACTGAAATATTAGCTTACTTTTGAGGAATAACCCTACAGGGCAATGAATGACACAAGCAGAACAAATCTCATTCAGAAACTATTAAAAGGAAATGTAATATTAACGTACATAATAAAATAATTCAACCAATTAAAATTTATCAAACACTAAAGCAAGCGACTAAGAAATCCAGAACACCAAAAAGGGAGTCCATTATAGTATTAAATTATTCTTGCAGCAGTTCTCAGTGTGGTCCAGGCTGGGGCTCCCTGAGACTCTTTCACGAAGTCTTCAAGGTCAAAACTATTTTCATAATAATGCTCAATTGTTATTTGCCTTTCTAACTTTCATTGTCTCACAAGTGTACAATAAAGTTTTCCACAGGCTACATGACCTGTGACAGCAAAAGCGACTGAATGCAGAAGCAGATATGAGAATGAGATGATTCTATTAACTAGACAGTAAAGAAATTGATAAAAGTATAAAACAATGCTCCTTTTCTCACTAAATTGGTTTTGTCTTGGAAAATATGTATTTTAATTTAAAAATATTATTTGTGTTAACATATGAGCTTATTATTTGTAAATATAAATTTAAATATTTTTAAATTTATTTTTAATTTCTTAAATGTTAAAACATTAGATAAATATACCCCACATAAATAAAAGTTCTTTTTGGCCTTTAATAACATTTAATACTGTAAAGGGGTCCTGAGACCAAAAAGTTGAGAACTATTGCTTTACAGTAATTTTAAATCAGGTAAAAAACTATTTAGTTAAATGAACAAATAGCCAAAATATAAAGCAAACACAAATACTCTCAAGCAAGAAAGGTCTAACACTTGTGCTATACCAAAGACAGTCCAAAAAAGGTAGTCTGGTAGTCAAAAAAGAGAAAAACGGGGTGGGAGGCAGGATGTTAAAAACAAAGAGGTGAAGACAGATTCTCAGATGGACAATATTAATGCACATTAGAAAAACTATAACCGAATGGCAGGTTGGTAAGAAGATGAACAAGAGAGAGTAGTGATTACTTAGAGAAGAAAACAGAAATCACATAGCATAAGTTGAGATGAGACACAGAAACTAGAGACAAATTAATCTATGAGGAAATAATGGGATTTAGAGCAATAGATTTTATGAAAAGATTAAGCTAACAAACTATGCAAGGCACAAGAAAAGTAAAATCCAATGGCATTTAATTCAAACGAGCAAACTAACAAAGCAGGCAACCAAAAACATCTCTGCTGCTCACACATTTTCCCAGCACAGCATATTTCATATCATAAAAACGTAGATGTTTAATCTCTGCTTCTTCTGACCTGTCATTATACATATGTCAAACACTTGACATGACTGATCTAAGTACCTAATTGTTCCTACAGCTCCCAAAAGCGAATTATACTGTGAGACAGTAAGACAGTAGTTGAAAAATGACCAGTTAAACTATCTATTGTCAGGTTATCAATTTTGTCAAAACAGCATACAATTTTACAAGCTCATCCACCATTACGCAATTTTATGAATTCTTCTGTAATTGAATTAAAATTAGATCTATAGATACCACTAAAAGAAGCAAGTTTTCAGGATGTTCCACTGCTCTAACTCCCCAAACTGGGGTCTAAATTGTTAAGCTGGGTGCCTCTTCCTCCATGTGCCAGCAGCCCTAGGGAAACTCTTCCTCTCTCATAATAACCTCAAGTCCTAGATTCTGCTACAGGCAGCTATCAGAAACACAGTGATACCTACATCTCCTGTGCTGCGGCACGTTTCATCTGTGTGTAGCAACTGGGTTCTGTGCTGATAAAGCTCTCAGTGGTACTTCTATGACCTGTGGTTGTATATTTTAAGAGTCACCCTAAGAAAGTGTTACCAATTAGAAGCAGTTCCACGAATGTACAAAATGTTCTCATTCCTAAAGTTCCCATGTACCTTATAAATTCTTTGCAAACCTTAGGACTGTGTCCTCAAAAAAAAAAAATTAAATATATAAAAATAAAACCTGACTGTTCACTGAAAATTTGTTTGCTGAAATGTTCTTTCAGCACACAGACATGGTTTGAAAGCATTTCAGAGTAGTAAAACTGAGTCCACTCTTTTTGACCAAAATTATTCAAGTCATTTTAAGTATGTTTTCATCAGAATGATAATCATAACCTTAATGTAGCAAAGTTCTTAAAAATTGACTAATAATAATGATTTAACTTACTTCTATTTTTCCATTATTCCTAACTACTTTCTGTAACCAAACAATTATTCTTACCCTCTTATTTGGATGCCATTCATTAACAGACACTATTATCAGCAGGACTTACCATTTTTTATTACAGATTTCTTTTAGTTGGATATTTAAAAATGCGATTAGGAGAACTTACTGTCCTAGTTTAACTTTCAAAATTTCATGACACGATATCATTTTGGTCTTTACGAAATTATTTCTTTAAAACTGTATTTTTACTTCTCCTAAGCATCATTCAAACAAACTTACTCGTTTGAAGTCATTCATATTTGTTGCCTGGACTGGAGTACCAATAAAAGTAAAATATGAAATTCTTGTTGTTTCTTCTTCACCTTGATTGGACTGAACAAATATCTACCAAAAAAAAAAAAATTTACATTAACAATTACAATTCTTTTTTCACAAACATGTTTTAAGATTGATTTCCTTATATTATTAATAAAAATGCCCTCCATTCTTTTTTTTTTCCTTAAAGATTGGCACCTGAGCTGACATCTATTGCCAATCTTCTTTTTTTTGCCTTTCTTCTCCCCAAAGCCCCCCAGTACACAGTCGTATATTCTAGGTGTAGGTCCTTCTGCTTGTGCTATGAGGGACCTCACCTCAGCATGACCTGATGAGCGATGCCATGTCCACACCCAGGATCCAAACCAGCGAAACTCTGGGCTGCCGAAGCAGAGCACACAAACTTCACTCAGCCATGGGACCGGCCCCTGCCCTCCCATCTTTTTAAGGATGAATCCAAATTACATTTAGACTTGGTACTCCTACAGAACTACTGATTCCACTATTTGCTCTGCTATTCTCACCCTCTCCAGGGATGTCATGGCAAGACACCCAGACATACAAGAAGTTCCTGACAATTTAGTGTAGTCGTGGGAGGGGTCATAATTAAATTCTTTACAGAGAATGAATGTTAAGAGAGTATGAAATTCATGATTACAATGCGCAGATCACTGTTGAAATTTTATTAAAATTGTAGTTTTTCACTGAGGAAAATTTCTGTAGTTATATTATTTCTGATACTCATTCATTCACTGTATTTCCAAGGATATTAAGAGGGAAAAAACAGTATTGGAAATCATCTGCTAAAAAGATACTACAGCCTGCATATTTTTCTAAGCTTGATTCTTTATTTCTATTTAAGAACTAGCCTGGGTATGTTAGGAGACAGAAGTTTTACTCACAGATCCTTTTTCGATATATAGAAATTAATTTTATTTGCTCCATTTTTTAAAACACAATACTTTAGATGCTGTCTGCTTAAGAACATTGCTTCTCTGGATTTGGACAACATACTTCTTTCATTCTCAAATGGCACTCATGAATTTTTATTGTTATAGGCAACCACACATTCATCTCAAACTGAGATTATCAATTAGAAACTCCAAATCTTTAAGTAGACTACTAAATAAGCTCTCCATTCATTTATTTGTAATGCTCTCTAAATCTAAGCAAAAGGTTATATTCACACTTTTGAAATTCATGTACTGGGGGTGGGGTGGCCCTCTGCAGGAACACCTTCGCTCTCCAAGTTCCCTCACAGCCCATGGCAAAGTCCCACACAGAGGTGGCTAATGTATTGCAGGGGTGTCTTCATCAAGCCAGTACCCCAGGACAGCAGAGAGTGAGAGCAGAGCGAGAACAGCCCTGGGATCATGCAGGCAAAACAAAGTGCCCCTCTCACCACCTGGCACTCAAGCTCAGCCGGTGGGCCACAGTGCCAGCATGTAGGATAGAAAAGCAGCAGCAGCTGTGATCGAGCGAGCTAGGGTCGCGGCAGGCTCAGAATATATAGCTTTTGACCCCTACCCTGTGGGAACAGGTGGAATCTGCAACCAAATACTATCACAATGCAGAGGGACAAATCCACATCATCAAACAGTATGAAAAAATATATTAACACTCCAGACTAGCAGGAAAATGACAAACAGCTAGAAATCAATCCTGAAGGCACAGAAATTTATAATCTAAATGACAGAGAATTCAAAATAGCTATCATAAAAAAACTAATGAGTTACAAGAAAATACAGATAGACAGTTCAATGAAATCAGGAACTTCACAAAATAGATTGAAACTATAAGGAAAAATCAATCAGAAATGTTGGAGATGAAAAACAAAGGATGAGATAAAGAAAAATCTGGACTCCCTGAATAACACAGCTACTATTATGGAGGAGAGATTCAGCAGTAGGGAAGACAGAAATTTAGAACTGCTTCAGGCGGAGGAGGAAAGAGAACTAAGAGTAAAAAGAAGAAAATTCTCCATGAAATATCTGACTCAATTAGAAAACGCAACATAAGGATTATAGGTAATCCAGGGGAAGAAGAGGAGAATGGAGCAGAAAGCTTGTTGAAAGAAATAACAGCTGAAAACTTGCCAAACATGGGGAAAGACCTGCAAATACAAGTGAAGGAAGCTAACAGATTTCCTAATTATATCAATGTAAAAAGACCTTCTCCAAAGCATATAGTAGTAAAGCTAGCAAAGTCAATAACAAAGGAAAAATATGAAGGGCAGCAAGACATAAAAAAAAACTTACAAAGGAACTCCTATCAGGCTTTCAGCAGATTTCTCAGCAGAAACCTTACAGGCTAGGAGAGAGAGGAATGATATATACAAACTTCTGAAAGACAAAAACTTTCAGTGAAGAATACCCTATCCAGTGAAAATACCCTTCAGATATGATGGAGAAATAAAACTTTCACAGATAAACAAAAGTTAAGGAAGTTCATCACAACAAGAACCCCACCACCTACAAGAAATGCTCAAGATGGGCCTCACACCTGATAAAAACAGGAAACAGTTTATGAAGCCTTGAGCAAGGACAGAAATAGGTAGACAAAATCAGAAAATTGCAGATCTCTATCAGAACAGGATAGCAAACAGTTTTATAACGTTAAAGATGGAGGGAAAGAAAACACCAAAAATAAATCTAATTTTATCATTTTAAGCACAAACTCACAAGACAAAATTGAATAAGCTGTGACAATAATAACTTAGAAAGGGACAGAATCAGCTTAGTCTAAGAAAATAAGAGGATAAGAGAAAATGGACTATCTCATCTAGGAGATTTTTTTATACAAACCTCATGGTAACCACTAAACAAGTAACCAGAGCAGAGACACAAATGATAAATAAAGACAAAACTAAGAAAACCATCACAGAGAACTACCAAACTGAAGTGGTAGTCTGAAATACATGAGACGAGAAAAAAGAGAAAATGCAGAAGAACCAGAAAACAAGCAATAAAAATGGCAGCATTCAGCCCTCATATATCAATAAGCACTCTAAATGTAAATGGATTGAATTCTCCAATCAAAAGACAGAGTGGCAGGATGAATTAGAAAACAAGACTCAACAATGTGCTGTCTGCAGGAAACAGATCTCAGCTCTAAAGACAAATACAGGCTCAGAGTGAAGGGATGGGAACACAATACTCCAAAGTAATGGAAAACAAAGAAAGCAGGTGTTGCCAAACTTTTATCAGACAAAGTAGACTTCAAAACAAAAAAGGTAGTGAGAGACAAAGGGGGACAGTATATAATGATAAAAGGGACACTCCACCAAGATGACATACACTTATAAATATATATGCAATGCACCCAACATATGGGCACTGAAGTACATAAAGCAACTACTAACAAACCTAAAAGGAAATATTAACAACAACACAGTAAGATCAGGAGACATTAATACCAGACTTACATCAATGGATAGATCATCCAGATAGAAAGTCAACAAGGAAATAGTGGATTTAAATGAAAAACTAGACCAGATGGACTTAATAGACACACATATATAGAACACTCCACTCAAAAACAACAGAATACACATTCTTCTCAAGTGCACATGGAATATTCTCAAGGACAGACCATATGTTGAGAAACAAGGCAAGCCTCAATAAATTTAAGAAGATTAAAATCATATCAAGCAGCTTTTTGGACCATAACGCTATGAAACAAGAAATCAACTACAAGAAAAAAGCTGGGAAAGTGACAAACATGTGGAGACTAAACAACATGCTAATGAACAACCAATGGATCATGGAGAAATCAAAAAGTATCTGGAGACAAATAAGAATTAAAATAGACCATACCAACTCAAATGGGACGCAGCAAAAGCAGACCTAAGAGGGAAATTCATAGCAATACAGGCCCACCTTAACAAACAAGAAAAATCTCAAACAAGCAATCTTAAACCACAGCTAACAGAATTAGAAGAAGAATAAACAAAGTCCAAAAATACACAGAAGGAGGGAAATAATGAAAGAGCAGAAATAAATAAAACTGAAGCAAACAAAAAAGGATCAATGAAACAAAGAGCTGTTCTTTGAGAAGATAAAAATTGACAAACGTTTAGCAAGACTCACTAAGGAAAAAAAGAGAGAAGGCTCAAATAAATAAAATTAGAAATTAAACAGGAGAAATTACAATGATACCATGGAAATACAAAGGATTATAAAAGGATACTATGAAAACCTATATGCCAACAAATTAGACAATCTAGAAGAAGGGGATAAATTCTTAGCCTCATACGATGTCCCAAAACTGAACCAAGAAAAAATAGAGAATCTGAATAGACCAATCACAAGTAAAGAGATCGAAATAGTAATCAAAAACCTCCCCCAAAAAAGCCCAGGACCAGATGGCTTCTCTGGAGAATTCTACCAAACATTCAAAGATTTAATCCCTATCCTTCTCAAACTATTCCAGAAAATTGAGGAAGAGGAACACTTCCTAACACATTCTACAAGGCAAATATCACCCTGATACCAAAGCCAGACAAGGACAATACAGAGAAGGAAAATTATAGGTCAATATTGCTGGTGAACACAGATGCAAAAATCTTCAACAAAATATTGGCAAACCAAATACAATGATACATTAAAAAGATCATACACCATGACCAAGTGGGATTTATATCAGGGACACAAGGATGGTTCAACATCCAAAATCAATCAACGTGATACACCACATTGACAAAATGAGAAATAAAAACCATATGGTCATCTCAACAGATGCAGAAAAAGCATTTGACAAGATCCAACATCCATTTATGATAAAAACGCTCAATAAAATGGGTATAGAAGGAAAATACCTCAATGTAGTAAAGGCCATATATGACAACCCACAGCCAATACCATACTCAATGGGGAAAAACTGAAAGCCATCCCTCTGGGAACAGGAACAAGAGAAGGATGTCCACTCTTGCCACTCTTATCCAACATAGTACTGGAGGTTTTGGCCAGAGCAATTAGGCAAGAAAAAGAAATAAAAGGAGTCCAAAGAGGCAATGAAGAAGTGAAACTCTCACTGTTTGCAGACCACATGATTTTATATATAGAAAACCCTAAAGAATCCATAGGAAAACTATTAGAAATAATCAACGACAGCAAAACTGCAGGGTACAAAATAACTTAAAAAGTCAGTTGCATTTCTATACTCTAATAACGAACTAACAGAAAGAGAACTCAAGAATACAATCCCATTTAGAATGGCAACAAAAAGAAAATATCTAGGAATAAATTTCACCAAGGAGGTTAAAAACCTATACAATGAAAACTATAAGACACTATGGAAAGAAATCAATGATGACATAAAGAAATGGAAGGATATTCCACACACATGGATTGGAAGACTAAACAGAGTTAAAATGTCCATACTACCTAAAGCAGTCTATAGATTCAATGCAATCCCAATCAGAATCTCAATGACATTCTTCACAGAAATAGAACAAAGCATCCCAAAATTCATATGGGACAATAAAAGACCCTGAATAGCTAAAGCAATCCTGAGAAAAAAGAACAAAGCTGGAGGCATCACAATTCCTGACTTCAAAATATACTACAAAGCTTTTGTTATCAAAACAGCACAGTACTGGTACAGAAACAAGCACACAGATCAATGGAACAGAGGTGAAAACCCAGAAATAAAACCACAAGTATATGGACAGCTAATCTTCAACAAAGGGGCTAAGAACATACAATGGAGAAAAGACAGTCTCTTTAATAAATGGTGTTGAGAAAACTGGGAAGCCACATGCAAAAGAATGAAAGTACACCACTATCTTATGCCAACCACAAAAATTAACTCAAAATGGATCAAACACCTGAAACCACAAAACTTCTGGAAGAAAATATAGGTAGTACACTCTTTGACATCGATCTTAAAAGGATCTTATTGAATACCATGTCTTCTCAGACAAGGGAAATAAAAGAAAAAAACAAGTGGGACTTCATCAGACTAAGAAGTTTCTGCAAGGCAAAGGAAACCAGGATCAAAACAAAAAGACAACCCACCAACTGGTAGAAAACAATTGCAAGTCATATATCTGACAAGGGGTTAATCTCCATTATACATAAAGAGCTCACACAACTGAACAACAAAACAACAAACAACCCAATCAAAAAATGGGCAGAGAATATGAACAGACATTTCTCCAAAGAAAATAGGCAGATGGCCAATAAGTACATGAAAAGATGTTCGACATCACTAATCATCTGGGAAATGCAAATCAAAACTACCCTAAGATACCATCTTACACCCAATAAAATGGCTATAATCACTAAGACAGAAAATAACAAATGTTGGAGAGGTTGTAGAGAAGAAGGAACCCTCATTCACTGCTTGTGGCAATGCAAACTGGTGCAGCCACTATGGAAAACAGTATGGAGATTTCTCAAAAGAACTAGAAACAGAAATACCATATGACCCAGCTATCCCACTACTGGGTATGTATCCAAAGAACTTGAAACCAACAATTCAAAATGACTTATGCACCCCATATTCACTGCAGCATTATTCACAATAGCCAAGACATGGAAGCAACCCAAGTGCACACTGACTGATGATTGGATAAAGATGTGGTGTATATATATACAATGGAACACTACTCAGCCCTAAAAAAAAAAAAAAAGAAGACAAAATCATCCCATTTGCAAGAACATGGATGGACCTGGAGGGTATTATGTTAAGTAAAGTAAGCCAGATAGACAAAGACAAACATCAGATGATTTCACTCATATGTGGAAGATAAACAAACACTTGGACAAAGGGAACAGTTCAGTGGTTACCAGGGGAAGAAGCTGGGGGGAGGGCACTGGGCATGAAGGTGAGCACATATATAGTGGCACACAAGTAATAATGTACAACAGAAATTTCACAATGTTGTAAACTAATAACGCAATTTAAAAGAATCTGAAAACACACGCACACACACACAAAAAATGGTGTTGGGAAAACTGGACAGCCACATGCAAAAGAATGAAAGTAGACCATTATCTTTCACCATACACAAAACTTAACTCAAAATGGATCAAAGACTTGAAGGTAAGACCCGAAACCATAAAAGTCCTAGAAGAAAATATAGGCAGTACACTCTTTTGACATTGGTCTTAGCAGGATCTTTTCAAATACCATGTCTACTCGGACAAGGGAAACAAAAGAAAAAATAAACAAGTGGGACTTCATCAGACTAAAGAGCTTCTGCAAGGCAAAGGAAACCAGAATAAAAACAAAAAGACAACCCACCAACTGGGAGAAAACATTTGCAAATCACATATCCAACAAGGGATCAATCTCCAAAATATATAAAGAACTCACACAACTGAACAATAAAAACAACCCAATTAAAAAATGGGCAGAGGATACGAACAGACGTTTTTCCAAAGAAGATACACAGATGGCCAAGAGGTACATGAAAAGATGTTTGACACCACTAATCATCAGGGAAATGCAAATCAAAACTATATGAAGATATCACCTTATACCCATTAGAATGGCTATAATCACGAAGAAAAAAATTACAAATATTGGAGATGATGCGGAGAAAAGGGAACCCTCACACACTGCTAGCTGGAATGCAAACTGGTACAGCCACTATGGAAAACAGTATGGAGAGTTCTCAAAAAATTAAAAATAGAAATACCATACAACCCAGCTATCCTACTACTGGGTATTTATCCAAAGAACTTGAAATCAACAATTCAAAGAGACTTAAGCACCCCTATGTTCACCGCAGCATTATTCACTATAGCCAAGAAGTGGAAGCAACCCAAGTGCCCGTCAACTGATCACTGGATAAAGAAGATGTGTTATATACATCCAATAGAATACTACTCAACCATAAAAAAGACAAAATTGTCCTATTGGTTACAATATGGATGAACCTTGAGAGTATTAATGTCAAGTGAAATAAGCCAGAGAAAGACAAATACCATATGATTTCACTCATATGTGGAAGATAAACTAACACACGGACAAGGAGAACAGTTTAGTGGTTACCAAAGGGAACAGCATTGGGGGGTGGACACAAAGGGTGAAGGCGAACATTTATATGGTAACTGACAAATGATAATGTACAACTGAAATTTCACAATGTTATAAACTATTATGACCTCAATAAACAAAAATTCATCTACTTAATTTGATTAGACTTTCTGATCAAAACTGTCATTTCGATTTTAACGTTATCAACAAAAAAGTGACAGCCATGTTTTCTGTGTCTTAAGTCACTGACTAAAATTCTGATTGAGACAGGACACAGGATGTAGAGACTTGAGTCTATTACAAGATAACTGCACTCAGAGATTCTCAATGACAGAGGAGATTACATCAGGATGTCTGGGTTGAAAGGGCTTTTTCCAACAAATAAATGCCTTCCTCCCATTACTTAAGAAACAGGTGAGGATATGTTACAAATACAAGTATGGTCAGGAAAATATTTTATAACCAGTCTTCTAGTTTAATATAACCATTTTCTTCAATTTCATTTGGGTAGAACATTTCAAATACTGAAAACTCAATTTAATTATAACCCTTCATCTTACTACTAACGACAGTCCGTGAAACTCCATTGAAAACCCCCTAAGGACACGTGCTACAGCATTCTTCTAATTTACAAAAACAGAATCATTCCATTAAAACAAAGAAATCACATTAGTTTGGCAAGACTTCTTCTCAGTGAATGTGCTGGCTCCTAACTCTTTTTCTAGGTGTTCTATGATTCTCTTCTAACCTTCCTGCCTCCCCCTCTGAAGGACTGGGCTGGGGGGGGTGGGGGGCAGGGAGCATGTGCTGGGTTTCAATACTAAAATTCACAAAAGCAATTAATAACTGCTAGGAAGCAGCTGACAATATAAATTAAGACGATGTAAAATTATCTTTTTAAAAAGTCATTTTTACTGAGATCATGATCATTGCACTATTAAAAACTCTATGTTCTAGAAAAGTTAATTGGATTTTTACAATGTATCATCACTCATCACCAGGTATGAAGGATAAAGCAGGAATATCTTCAGTGTAAGTATAAAAGTTCTAGAATAAACTTTTAACAAAAGTTGCCAAATACATATAAAATAAATAAACTGCTAAGTCCACAAATTTTTAAAAATTAACTTGTCCTGTCTCTTTCGGGCATATAGATAATTAAAAAGAAGAAAATTTAATTAGCTTATTATTCATTTCAAACCAAGTGGACAAATAACTACATTAAAGGATCATTTAGAATCACCTACACCACGAATTATAACCCACAAACTCATGAAATACATCTGGATAAAATGCTACTTACAGTTACACTGTTAACATTCTGAAACTTAACATAACGAAGTGGGACAATGCCATCTTCTTTAATATCATCCTCTGTTAGTTCCAGAGCTTGAGTTGGTTCACTTCTTTCTGCCTCTTCAAAATCCATAGATCGAGGTAGATTGATAAAAATTTTTACGTATTTAGGACCCTGACCTATAAAACGGTAGAATAAAATTAAATGCTAAAAACTACAAACATACAATACTTCTTCCCTTTATCATTACATTCACACTATACAGACACACATACACACATACCTACATATATACACCTTTGTAGACCTCTATCTTTAGAAATTGTAAGAAAGTCAGTATTTTTATAGCCGTTTTGGTTTTTTCAATAGACATTTACTGGTATACCCCTTGGCCTGAAAGCATTATACTAAGTATTAGGAATACTAGACTAAAACACATACATACATATACATGTACATACACATACAGAGTTCTCAGCTTCAACTACAAAAAACATACTATGATAAATGTAACGCTACTAGTGAAGAGGTACAGGGAGGGAGGCAATGGAGTCTGACAGTATATGGATGTTAACAAAAGTTTCATAAATGCAGTAACATTTGAGCTGGGTCTTGCAAGTGCCAACAACTGGTACAGTTTGTTAGTTAGGAGGAAAGCGTTATCTGTGACAACATTTAGCCAAAAGGAAATGAATTATACAAACTGCCAAATTTCATCTTAGGGATTAGGATGTGCTCAGTGGTAAGAGCACTTTTATAGAATGTCTTAGGTCCTTTAACTTCATGGCATAGTCTAAGGTCCCTATTCTATGGCTGATTAAGGAATCTTAAATATTCACATTGCTTAAATACTCACTTCTACAGTATTTTCAAATATTTTGTATTTTCAGAATAAAGGTACAATTTTATAAATGAAAAATCACGAATACATGAAAACTTAGAATAACAAATGAGAAAGGAATGCCATCTGATAAATAGGGTGCTGGCTGTTTCTCCCAATCAATTAAAAAAAAACAAAAACAAAAAAACACTCTAGTCCTCCCCCACCCATCCCCTCAACAAAAAAACCTCAACAGACACATTAAAAAAAAGGGAGGGGTGAATAAAAAATATTCTTATTTAGTAAAAAAAAAAAAAAAAAGAAATGCCAGGTCTGCACAATCATGTTTTCAGCATCCTAATATGTAGAAAGAAGATGAAATTATTAATTGAGCATAAATAGGAAGATCTAGAGCCTCAGTTTTATCATCTAAAAGAGGAGTTTGAAATAAATGTCTCCCAGTTCTGATCCTAAAAAATGGCTGCTTTGAACTTAGAGTTTTAGAGTAATAGTTGCAGGAAAGGGTTCAGTAGTTTTCAGATTAAGAGGGAACTTAAATCCTAAAATAAAAAACTTTAGAATTAAGATAAAAGTTTCCATTTTTTTGCCTTCAGTCCCTAATAATCTCATATTATTTGTCCATTCATTCATATCCTTGCTTTGCTCCAAAAATAATTTTACTCTTTCCCAAAACAAGGAATATCTACCTTTATTTAATAAAAAGTTTTAAACATGTGCTAACAGGTCTACAGAGCAGAAAGTTAGTTTAAAGAAAAGCTGTTCCTTACTCACCATTATCTGGCCCTTGAAATTTCATTGAATAAAGCTTAACAGGTTGATTGAATGCTACAGTAATAAGTAGCTGTGAAGAAAAGAGTTTCATTTTAAAAGGACACTTGAATACCTTGAATACATACAAAGCTAAGTAAAACAACAGATGCAAAAGAAATTTATTTCATCTAACAAAATCAAACCAATGTAATAAGGAAAATCAGTAAGTTGAAAGTAACTTGACCACATTGACATTGGAGAAATACAATCATCTATTATTCATATACAGAAGTGATAACAACAAAATTTAACACAATAAATTAAAATTATACATAAAAACCTAAGGTCTTCTGACCTATAAACTGACAAGTAATCTGCTTTCCATAAAATCCCCAAATTATTTAAGCTATATATCTTAGCCTATGAGCTGCTTTTTTTCCAGAATAGTTTATTTGTTAGCACCTACCCACATCACTGGACAACTTGGAAACAATGCACAGGTTACGTGGAGAGACTAGCCCTCAAATGAACTCTGATCCAAAACTCAAGACAAGAGGACTCTCACAGCTCCACGGTAACCTCTAAACCTCTATCCTAACTTATCTAACTAACTAAATTTGGAAGGCGACGTAAGGGAACTGGGATACAAAACACTGTCAGAAGGCCTACTTCTCAGAAACTCTGATTCCTTTGCTCAATCTTCTTTCTAGCTGAAACCGTGTCTGATGTAGCTACCCATGCTTCCACCCCAGGAGGAAGATTTCAGGGAAGGGATAGCCAGTCCAGCTGACAAGTGTCATCAGGTTACATTCAGGGCTCCATTTACAAGGAACACAGTGTGAAGGATACCCTCAAACCTACATAGTAAGGTAGCTCTGGTTGGAGCAAAGAAATATGGAGTTTGGAGTTATAATTTCATAATTATTGTGGTCTGGTTGCCTAAGAAAATACCTAGACTATTTCCTCTGGTTACATAAGTGCTTTTTATACTTGACCTGCAACAGTGTGTCAAAAAATATCAAGCAAGGTATATTTAGGGATTTGAACCACAGGTGTAGAGGAGATGAGACTGGAAGGCTAGAAACAAATCAAGTCAGCAACAATCAGACACCCTCTTCCTGAAGCCAGTGAACTTTTTCAAAAAGCGAAGCATGCTCAGATTTATATTTTAGAAATATAATTTTTGTGAACATGTAGAAGATGATCTGGAATGGGGACAAAGCAGAGACAGTGAAACAGAAAGTAAATTAAGGAAAATAATAGTCAAGATGAAGATAACGATGGCTTGATCAAGGCAGTAACACACTACTTCCAATGTGACAATAATGCAGGGAAGTACAGAGAAGTACAATACAGGTTCACATCTGGGAGTGAGGACTAGACATGTAAGGAGTGCTCATTTAATTAGTCTCTGCTTCTCAGAGACAAACTCATCTGGGTAGGTAAAAAGTATTGAAAGTGGGTCAAGAATGAACAAAAGGACTTAAGAGCAGTGAAGGCTCACTCAGCAGAGGAGCCAATCCAAGAGTTCTGCGGCTCTCCCTTGTGCAGCTGGCACAGAACAGAGAAAGGAGGTGGGTCTGCACCGTCCAAGGACAGGGGTCAAAGAAACTGAAAGTTATAAAAAGGAAGGAAGAAGTTGTCATCCGGGAAGGAGAGACATAAAACCGTAAGATGGAAACAGGATAAAGAAACAAGAACGGGCATAAATATTGACAATCTCTACAAGCCTTAACTTAAGCGTTCAATTACCTGTTCATCACAATCAGATTCTAAGAAGGTCAGGTCTTTTCGTAAACAATTGTCAAATCCATGCTCATCGCTTTCATTAAGACACTCACAGCCAGCTTTGTTAATAAAAGGCATCAAATCCATCTGAAACAAATTAAATCAAGACTTTAGGCAAACCATTTGGTATAAAAAAATCTTAAGAAATTTACATACGTGATTCTCTCTAGATTAGGCAATTTTAAAGAAAACTTTTCTCTCTTAAAATAGTCACTAAAACTTTTAGAATAATCCTTTCACTTGAATTTCTGACTGAGATCTACCACTAATTATTAAAGCCAAATCTAGGCTTAGTCCACTCAATAAAATATCAGAAGCCAAGTCTTTAATACTAAGACTAGCAAGTGTTGACTTATACTTTTTTACCAACAGTGTTTTGCAATGGAAAATACACAAATTAAAATGTTTGCAAGATCAAAAAAAAGCTTACTTCTTTCTTCTGGAAGCCATGGACTCTTTAAACCTACATACATGAAGAGCTTAGATTTAAGATTAATAGCAAATAAGGACTTAAAACACTTTTTATTATGGAAAATTTCAAACATACATAAATAGACTACAGTGAACTCCATGAACCCAACTTCCAACTACAATAATCATTAACTCATGGCCACTCTTGTTTTATCTTTATCCCACAACCAGTCCCTAACCATTCCCGATTATTTTCAAGTAAATCTTAGACATTCTTTTATTTCACTAACAAACATTTCAGCGTGTATCTCTAAGAGATAAGGACTCTTTAAAAAAAATCCTCAATATTATCATCACAACTAAAACAATGAATAACACTTTAATATCACCTAACATCAGTGTTCAAATTTCATCAATTGTCTCATAAATGTTTTACAGTTGAATTTTTAGAATCAGAATAAGGATCCAAAACAGTACAAACAAATCTGTCTCTTAAATCTCTTTTAATCTACAGTCATTTTGGCTGTAGATTTCTTACATTCTGAATTTTGCTGACTGCTTCCCTGTGGTGTCGTTTAACATATTCCTGTCTCCTGTATATGTGTTGGCTAATACTTCCACACTTCCAACAAAACACCAAAGATTTGTGGGGACAGTGGTTATCCTTGTCTAGTTTCTGACTTTAGAGGGAATGCCTCTAGTGCTTCCCCATTAAGATTTTATTGAACGCTTTAGTAATAAATGGGAATTGAATTTCATCAAATGCCTTTTCTGCATATTAGGAGATTATGATTTTTCTCCTCTGGATTGCTGGATTTTGTTTACTAATATTTTATTCAAAGATTTTTATACCAATATTCCTAATTGGAACTGGTTAGTAGCTTTCTTTTTTGGTGCAGTCTGTCCGATTCTGGAATCCATGTCATACTTACTTCAAAAAGAAATCTGGAAGTTTTCTTTTTATATAGTCTTATGGACCTGGCCGCCTACTTCTGAAAAAATTGGCCACAAAAATCCTATGAATAGCAGCGGAGCATTGTCTGATACAGCGTCAGAAGGCGAGAAGACGGCGCAAAAAGACTGGGCAGGGTTCTCTCTGCTGTACCTGGGGTCACTAGGAGTCGGAATTGACTAGATGGCAGAAACAAAATATGGTCTTAAGTAGCTGTAGTAACACTAACTATTGATCTTGAAGATTTGGTAGAATTCCCCTGTGAAGTCATCTTGGCCGCTGAGGAAGACCACTTTTACTATTTTCTCTATTTCCTCTATGATGATTGTTCTATTTAGGTGCTTCTAGTAGAGTTGATTTTGATAAACTGTGTTTTTCTAGAAAAGTATCCGTTTTATCTACTAAACAAGGACAACTTTCAAAGTTTAAAAGTATCATCAGTTGCATGTTCACCTTTCTATCACAAAGTGCCCTTATTATATTTTTTATCCAATCCAGAGAATACTAATGCATGTGTATCTAGTTCTGAAAGACTAAAGGAAACGCTTTTACATGTCAAATAATTATCAATGTGGTAATAATCCATTAGAACAGACTCCTAATTATTCATGGAGTAGCCTAAATGTTTCCAAAGCCAAAATGATACTGTGTTATCTTAAATGTTGCATAACATTAAATGTCAAATCTATTACTCAGAATAACATACAGTAGCCAATTAAGAGAAAGGAGGAGGGGAAAAAAGGAGCACTACAGAGCAAAGCTCCACTGTTGCAGAATTAATCTGAACTTCAAGAACATCTGCCTTGAAGAGGTAGTTTTGACAAAACCTTTTCAATGTTTATGTCTACCATTCTACCAAGATACCTCTTCAACACTATATCTAAGATTAAGACCCCAGGCATGAGCACTGCAGTCATACTTCCAATACCTTAATGATGAAAATAAAAATAGTTTTTAGATTTATTTATCATGGGGCACACGAAACAAGTATCAGATTCAAACAGTTGCATTAAAGTGCTTTGTTATACAATATTGTCTGGAACAAAGTGGCATTATATTGTATATTTGACATAATTGCAAACTGATATATTCCAACAATATGCAATGGGAAATAAATATCACTACCTATGTAATTAACTTGCCAAAAATGAGGAAAAACTCAGGAGAAAACAATCAGACAAATCCAGATTGTCGGACATTCTATAAGACAGTCTAGACCTGTGCTGTACAACAAGATAGCCATTAGCCACATGTGGCAATTTAAAATTTAATTAAAAGTAGATAAAACTAAAAATTCAATTCCTCAGTTGCACTAGTCACATAACAAATCCTCAACAGCCACATATGCCTAGGGGCTAGTGTATTAGACTGTTGCTGGTTAAAAGTTTCAAAAAAGATAGTCATGAACGAAAAAAAAGGCAGAGAGAAGTTTCTAGACTAAAGAACACTAAAGAAAACTGACAATTTAATGCGATGCATGATCCTTGATTTCATCTGAGATGGGGGAAAATAGCTATAAAGTATATTTTGGAGATAATTAAGGAAATCTGAATGTAGGCTGCATATTAGAAATACTGTATGAATGTTAAATTTCTTAGCAGTGATAATGGTATCATGGCTATATAGGAGAATGTTCCTGTTCTTAAGAGCCACATGCTGAAATATTTAGAGATGAACCATCATGACATCTATAATTCACTTTTAAATGATTCTCAGAGGATAAAAGTAGACAGATATCTAGGTAGAGCAAAAATAGCAAAATATTCAGAACTGACAAATACAGATGAAGGGAATATGTCTTTACTGTACTACTCTGCCAACTGCTTTTTTTAAAAAAATAGGTTTCACCTTTTTTTTTGTAGAGGGGGAGGAAAACTCCAATAAGAGACACATAGGAAGTTAGAAAAACCTTTCCATACTTCAAGCTTTGGGTTAAAGAAAGAACTGTCTACTGACTACATAACTTAGGGTCATTTAACAGTTGATTTCATTTTGATGAATGACGATAAATTCATAGACCAAAGCTTAGAGTTCAGAGGTCAGAATACCAAAATACACCAACAAGCCTCAAAATTCAGAACACATGCAAATGCAAGTTCAATTTCAGAGTGTTTAGCATTCAAACTTCTGGAGAGGACGACTGGATTTAGAGGGCATAAGGGGCTATTTGAAGCCATACTGTTCTTTTCTTAGCAAACATGAGAGACGAGAGATATAATGTTTTAAACTTTCCCAACTTCAATAAACATTTCAAGTTCACAAAAACACTCTCTTACTTCTGAATAAGAATCTATTATGATTCTTAGCCTTTTGAGTATCATGTTTACATCTTTTGTAATATCTCAAATCTCCCTAAAAGAGAATACACGCTCTCTCTTACTCTGGCTCTAGTCAAATTAGGAGTTTCAATACTACAGATGTATAAAAATAATTGCATAGCCTCTTAATGTTAAAACATAACGACTAAAAGTATTTATTTCAAGAAATGTCAAGTTTTATTTAAAAACTGTCAATACACTTTTGCAATGCTTATACTTACAACTTAAGATACACGTTTTCATACAGTGACTCTCACTAAGTTTCTATTTTCGTGTGAGAACAATGACATTTCTTGGGAACACGTGACCAGTTTTAAATATTTAATAACCCTGTTAAGACCTTAATAGTTCAAAACTTTAATGTCTTGATTGACACCTAATGAAAAAAATGAAAATGTTTTAAATAGCTTTTCACATTGTATTCATAATATTTGCATGAAAATTAAATTCTTTTTACTTCTTAAAATTTCATTTATTCCTGCTTATTTCCTACCTGAGGCCAAAATACTGATATCACACTTAACTGATGTATAATAAGTGGTGGGACTGTTGCACTTATAAGACTTTTTCACGCAAACACTCTTAGTAATAAAAAAAAATACAAAGACGTAAACACAACCGTTATACAAGTCAAACGATTTCCAAAATTTTCCAAAGGGTGTCACAACCCTGACTTACATGTTCATACTTTCTAACAGATTACAATTTCAAATTACTATTTAACAGTCCTTTTTAAATACATACTAATTGCACTTCCCTAACTAAAAGTAATTAACATTAGTACCACATGTTAAAGACACTTTTTAAAGACATAAGTCACCCCCAACACACACAAAAAGAATCTCTCATACTTACCTGAATATAGATTCTCCTTATTCAGCATGAATTTAAGGGGCTTAGAGAAATGACTTGTAGCCCCATAACACAGATCTGCTTTAATGTACTTGATACATCCTTTTTCATATATTAGCTTTAACTTGAAGTAACACTTAAGCCAACACCTGTGCCAGTCTTCCTCTATTTTGTATGTGGGTCACCACCACAACATGGCCACCAACGAGTGGTGCAGGTCCATGGCTGGGAATTGAACTCGGGCCATTGAAGCAGAGAGCACCAAACTTAACCACTAGGCCACAGGGCCAGCCTCTAAAAAATCATTTTTTGATCTGCCAATACAATAATTTAATAACAAGAAAAATTAAGAAATATATATATATTTTTATTTTGGTATGCACACTTTTCCAATTTGCATAAACAAATTGGCTACCACAAAGTGCTACTTCTGAATTTTACTTCCTTCCTGAATAGCTCTCAAATATAAAGATATTACATTATAACTATTCATATTATGTAGTTTTCAGAACTTTTAAGTTCTTAAGTCTTTGAGTTATTATTTAGAATAATAACTTACTCTCAAAACTCAGAAAAACATATGCAATACCAAAGTCACATCTGCTTCTAAAACAAAATCAGTAACTAGATTTTTTTAACAGTGTCAGAAAATAGGGGATACATTTAAAGAGAGAAAACTATAGTAAACGGCAGGAAATGGAGTTCCATATATACTGGTCATACATTAAAATCTACAAGTCATTTTACACAATGGTCAAAAACTGGAAAATGTTTCCAACGCACATTTCTTCACTTTTTGGGGGGAAAAAAGGATAAAACAAATGTTTAAAAATGGCTATTAAGGGGGGCTGGCCCAGTGGCACAGTGGTTGGTTTTGTGCACTCCTCTTCCATGGCCCGGGGTTCACGGGTTCAGATCCCAAGCACGGACCTGCACACTACTCATCAGGCCATGCTGTGGCGGTGTCCGACATACGAAAAATAGAGGAAGACTGGGACAGATGTTAGCTCAGCAACAATCTTTCTCAAGCAAAAAGAGGAAGACTGGCAACAGACGTTAGCTCAGGGCCAATAATCTTCACACACACACACACACACAAAGGCTATTAAATAGTTCAGAAAACAGATTTTTTAAAAAGTGGCAAAGAAAATTAGCAGCAGAAATTTAGGAAAAATAGTTTATCATGGGGGCTTAAGGTTAAAATATACACAAATAGCCAAAACCCAATAGTCAGCTAATGAATTTACTTTTAAAGTTATTTGAAAGTATTCTGAACTAGTAGAAGATAAAATATAGTCAATTTAATTTTAACCAAACAATGACAAATGCAAGATACACCATGATTTCACTTCTGAGTCTACATACATAGCCTTTCGGAATATCTGTGTCCTCATTGCTTCCAGGGTCATTTTCTAAGTGCTGCTTGATTTTTTCTTCTAATCCCACAGCATCTGCTCCTTGATACTGATCAATTCTCACTTTGTTTCGAAAAAACAAAAATGTTGGTGTTGCTGATATATTGTTGGTGGCAGCTGTTCCCTAGAATTGGCAAGTTAGACAGCGTTATAAATTAAAACTAATTTTAAAGCACTTGAATATTCATTCTACATCTCTATGGAAGTTAAATATCACAAACATAAACTAAAAACATATAAAATCATTTATTCCTAATTGTTATTTAAGAAAAAGCAGATCTATTCCTAAGAGGCACAACTATATTATATTAGCTTTATATCCACAAAGAAGAACTACCCTGCGTTTTTGTCAGTTTGCATTAAATATTTCATTCAGTAGAACAATTAGCTTCCAATACAGAAATGGTGCTTTACAACACCAAATAGCTCTCTCGTAAGTACATACTGTTTCCCAAATGAAGTAATCAAGAAGGGTATTGATAGGTTAACACAAACCACTGGTAGTAGGAAAAAGCACACACCTGAAAACCAGTAGACCATCTGTCTGTGAAAAGGAGGTAACATCCGTTGCACTGAAATCACCCAATTCAACTCTTATAGAAATGATTTCTGGTCTCCCATCAAACACACTGCAACAGCTATCTTTTTAAATTCTGCTCCAACTCCACACTATTATAAGACTAACTACTGAACAGAAATTAGCTAATAACCACTGATTCATGGTTTAAACTTTTCATGAGAATTATACAGTAAATAGTAAAGCAAATATGTCATCTTACATATTCAAATACTATGGAAGAGGTACACTATATTGTTTAGGGGAAAAAAGCATAGTTTATATGGAGATATCTTCTCTAACCCTAACAAAAAAAACCCAAAAAAATATGATTGAGCTTTTAGAATAGTGCTGTCCAAAAGAACTATAATGTAAGACACAATGTGAGCTATATATGTAATTTTAAATTTTCTAGTATCCATAATAAAAAAGTAAAGAGAAACAAGTGAAATAAATTTTAATAACACATTCCAGTGAATCTAATATATGCATTTTCAACACATAATCAACATAAAGAGTTAATGACATATTTTATATTTCATTCTAAGCCTTCAAAATCCTATGTGTATTTTACACTTACAGCACATCTCAATTTGAACTTGCCACATTTCAAGTGCTCGATAACCACAGGTAGCCATGGCTACCATACAGCACAGCACACTCCAAAAGACAGCACTTTCAGATTAGAGGTAATGAATACTTAAAATAGGGCCAGTGCTACAGTTCAGTAGTATGTGACATAGTAGTGCTGGACAATAAACACGCAATATAGGGTTTACACCAAATCCCCAAACTACTAACTGCAAACTATATAAACATTCTTAAGTTTTCTCACACTCAGAAAGGTAACAAAGACAAAACTGCTAAAGAGCTGTACCTTAGTCAGAGCTGAAGACTGTATTTTTAGTGTTCAAAAGAGCCTTCCTCAATTTTTTTTTCCAAAACGACTCCCCCATATTTCTACATATGCAAATGTAGAACTGTCACATAGCCATTCCAACTAAGTGATCAGGGCAATCTACCCACAACACTGTGGCTCAATCAACAGTAAATAACATTTTAAAGTTTTTGCTGAGTAGGTATCTTTGGAGCTAAGATTACAAACTGATCAGTTCAAAGCAAACTATAACCAAGAATTCTTTGCCATGGCTTTCTGCTCAGCCAATACCTCATTAGCAAAAGATATAATTCTAGACTTGCAAAAGATAAACAAAGACATAAAACACAGAACTGCTGGGTGACCTATTAGTTTAACAACATAATATTAGTTTTATATCAGAAGGATATTAATATAAACAAACCCAGAAGCAATTAATGTTGGACTACCCTTCTTAACTAATGCAGCCATAAAGACATTTGCAATAATCATGTCAATGTAACATTTTCCTATCTTCAAAAGAATAAGTAATAAGTGCATAAAAACATAAATAAATGAAGGATGATATTAATGTTGAAATTGAAACCAATTTGCAAATAAATTTTTAATGAAAGGAGACTCTTTTCCCTTACCTGACACTGATGTACATCTACTTCCAAGAAAACTGCCTGTGGATACTTATTACTCATAGAACTGAATGCTGGGGCAATCCTCAAACATGGTCCACACCTGTGAGAAAGGTAAAAGAGATGCTTGCTAAAATAACACCAAAGATTGTATCAATTTATACTCTAAAGAACCTGCCAATTAAAACACAAAGCAAACTCTGATACCTGGCTTTATACTTTCTAGTCTGTTCCACTGGACTATTTAGATACACTTGCATCAATACCACATTGTCTTAATGACTACAGATTTATTTTAAGTCCAATAGTGTTAAAGTCTTCCAGCTTTGTTCTCACTGAAAGAAATTAAGTATCTAAATAAATGGAGGAGTATACTATGCCTATGAACTGCAAAACTCAATATTGTCAAGGAGTAAATTCTCAATTTGATCTTTAGAATCAATGTAAAATCCCAGCAGGTTTTCTTGGAGAAATTAACAAATTTAAATTCTAAAATTTATAGGGAAATACCAAGAATAGCTCATTTTGAGGGTTAAAACTAAAGAGATTACATTACCAGATATTGAGAACTATCACAAAGCTTTATAAATTAAGAGCGTACAGTATTGATACAAGGATAAACAAACTGACCTATATAAAAAGAACCGAGTCCAGAAACAGACCCAATCCATAACAGTAACCTGATTTATGAAAAAGTTGCCACAGCAGTACAGTGGGGAAAGGACAGTCTTTTCAATAAACAGTGCTGAGTCAACTGGATATTCACATGGGGAAAAAAATGAACAACCCATACCTGACACCATACCTAAAAACTGATTCCAGGTGGATTACAGATCTAAATGTGAAAGGTAAAACAATAAGGTTTTAGGAAAAAATACAGATACTTTCAAAACCTCAGAGCAAGCAAAGATTTCTTAAAACAGAAAAAGCACTAAAGAAAAAAGGAATGGAGGCCGGCCCCATGGCCAAGTGGTTAAGTTTGAGCGCTCTGCTTTGGCAGCCCAGGGTTTCACCAGTTCAGATCCTGGGTGCGGACATGGCACTGCTCATCAGGCCATGCTGAGGCAGCATCCCACATGTCACAACTAGAAGGACCCACAACTAAAATATACAACTACGACTGGGGGGATTTGGGGAGAAAAAGTAGGGGAAAAAAAAAGCTTGGCAACAGTTGTTAGCTCAGGTGCCAATCTTAAAAAAAAAAAAGAGGAATGAATTGACATATTGGAATATACTTGATAAACTGGAAAAGATTAAGACCTTTTGTTTATCAAGATACCACTTAGAGGGTGAAAAGACAACCCACAGACTGGTAAAAATTATCTGTGAACATATCAAACAGAGGACTTATACCTCTAATAGGTAAAGAACTTCTACAAATCAATAAGAACAATACTGACACCCAAAAGAAAAAGAAGGGTAACCCTTGAACTGATACTTGACAAATGAGTTTATCCAAACTGTCAAATATGAAAAGGTGTCCTACTTCATTAGTCACTAGGGAAACCAGGGAAATGCAAATTAAAACTACTCCCACCAAAATGGCTAAAATAAGAAAGAATGAAATATTGTCAAGAATGTGGAGCAACTTAACTGTTAGTGAAAGTGCGAACAGGTATAACCATTAAGAGGGGCAGAAAAGAAACTGGCAATATCTGCTAAAGCAAGACTTATGCTCATTTCTGGGGTATACCAACAACAGAGATGTCTCCATATGTTTGCCTTATGGTATTTGAAAAAATATTGATAGTAGTAATATTTCTAATAGCCAAAAAGTGGAGATTACCCAAATTCCTATCAATAAGAGAAGGAGTAAAATTAACTGTAGTTATTCAAACAGAGGGATACTATACAACAATGAAATGACTGATGTATATCCTCGTGCAAAAACATGAATTAACCTCACAAATAATACTGAGGAAAGAAGTACACTATAAGATTCCATTTATACACCGTTCAAATACAGGCAAAACAAATCAATGGTATTATAAATCAAAGCAATGGTTAGCTTTGTGAGAGTTAGTGACAGAATAGAGGAATAAGAAAGATTTCAAGAGGCTAGTAATGTTCTCTTTGTCCAGAAGCTGATTAGACAGGAATATGTGTTCAGTTTGTGAAAACTGATTAAGCTATACATTTATAATTATGCACTACATACATTATATGCTAATAAAAGCTCAAAAAACATGAGAAAAATCTTGGCTTTAGTAGACAGGAAAAGTAAATTTTAAAGCACAAAATGTTCAAACTCACAAATGTTCAATCTCAAGATGTGACTCCCTCTTCATTCTTAACATTTAATCAGCATTTTCATCCTATGCCATCCTTAAGCCTCTCACCGAAAAGCTAAGAAAATAACTATTAAGTTCCTAAATATTAAACTTGGTGCTTCAGAAATCAGATTTTTGGATTTAACAATCCTCAAATAGGCTCTGAGACTAAATTATAAAGAAACAAACATTTATAGTTGAGTAAAACTAGGTTTAGTTTAGCAAAATACTTCAAGCTATTAATAAGTCAAACATTGTAAATAGGAATACAAATTGGTAGATCCTTTTGAAAGGGCCATTTGGTCACTATCTATCAATTTTAAACGAATACAACCAAGATTAAGCAATCTAATTTCTAAATGTCAACTCTATCATAACACTCAATTTCAAAATAATATGGAAGTTCAATGCAATGTTTGTAATAGTAAAAAATTAGAATGGCAATCTAAACGGCAATCAAGAGAGAGAAAGTTTTAAAAGTTATGACACATTCACACCAGGGGATAAGGATAATTTGTACTGTTTAAAAGAAAACTAAGTCTCATGATAAAATGTTCTGTATGATCACATTAAAAGGATGTATTTATATATATAAATACATACTAACAAGTTAGGTGGGTCACACAATAAATAGTTAATTATTTCTGCAAAGCAGGATTGGAAAAGGAAGAGAGAAAGTCTAGGAGAGACTTTTTAAACTATTCATGCGTCTGCATCCTTTACTTTTTCATAATGAAGAGTTTATCTTTTAAAATATTAAATACATTGAGAATAGAAAATTTAACATTAACTGCATTTAAACAGATGCCACAAATGAAGCACAGGTATTTATGCTATACTATAATATAATGCTATAATGCTATACCTCAGCATAATCACTACTGAAAAGTCTTCCTTCTGCAAAAGCGTGCACTCAAAAACAGAAGGCTTATAAGAAAAACAAGATTGAGGCAAACCATTTAAACCCACGCAACTTTGTAAAAATATCCCTAAGAAAAACAACAACTAGTACTCAGGAAATACCTGAAGAGCCAGGCAGGTGGCTCAGACCCAGAGGTTACCTCAGAGGATATTCAAAATGAACAAGAACAATCAAGTAGAAGTGCCCACTTAGCGGTGCTGTGACAATCCATATGGAAGTGGAGCTCTGAGGCATGGGGCTGCCATTAAGATGAGGCTAGAAGGAAGTGCAACACTGAGAATGAACCCCTCTGGGGAATAAGCACTGGGTGCAGACACACATGTTTAATTTTATCAACTTTAACTTTCTTAAAATAAACCTGAAAGGGAGCCTGCCTGTGCAGCTGAGGACTTTTCTCCTTCCTGCTAAAGGTTCTATTTCTATTCCTGTTCTTCAATACCTAGGAAAAATAGAATATGATCCAACTCAACTTCCACATTATACTGACATCATGGCCCTATTCACCAATCAGGTGTCCACTAACTGGTGTTAAACACTTTTTGTAGCTAAACAGACAGTACAAAAATAATGGCTACATCACAAGTAACTGTTCCCTTTGAAAATGTAACCTTATCTAGAGTCTTTAATTTCAGTTAGCTATCAAAGGCTGGAACTTCAGTCAAAAGTCAAAATAAGTCACAGAACACAGAAGCACAAATATATACAGCAGCATACTTTCACACTATACTCATTTAAATGAATTGACTGGTTATTTTAAGCAAAATGCTTGCCTTGCTTAACATTAGCACTTAAGAGCAAACAAATTTCCACTATTATCTGAGCTTATGAACGAGTTATCTGATTTCTCTATAAAATGAGAAAAACTAGATTCTCCAAGGACCTTTCTCATCTCTAAAATATTATGGCCCCAAGTATGCCTAAATTTTGCGATTGTTCTTTTTTTCTTTTGCACAGACCTTGATTCATAGCCCTTAGATAGTACACAATCACAGGACCTTTGAACTTGCTGTAAAAGAGACCAGAGCCCATCTAGTCCAGAGTTCCAAAAGAGAAAAAAAAAAAGTTCTTTTTCTACCTCTGAACCTCTTTTTGACAGAAAGCTTATCTGTTAAGTCCAACATGTAAAATGAATACGTAAGGATTCTGAGTTACGGTTTTTGAGAGAAAGAGAAGACAGGAGACAACCCTCTACCTTTCTGCAATAAATACACAAAGAACCAAACCCACAAAACTAAAACTGTAAAACTGACCTAACCTAACACAATTATTCATAAGTGAGAACTAAAAAACCAGAAAAGTTAAACGACTTGCCCAAGATCAGACATTCTAGTTAATGTCAGGGCTACAGCTAGAACAGTTAACTACTAAAACCAGTCAAGATCAGCTTTCTTCGAATGTACCACATTAGGTTCTTCTTCTTAAGTAAGGTTTTTGTTTAGTCATAATATAAATAAATTCTATTTTATGAACTTGATGTTTTTTCCTATTTGCTGAAATATCCAATGAGCAATAACGTGTAAACACATTCAGCTGGTAACTGGGTAAGGAAAATGTATGTGCTTTCTGAAGATATATTTCAAAAGTTTATTTTTCTGCAGGGCATAACTTTAAAATGGGTAATTTCTAGATGTATTATACTTATTAATGGGTAGGCATAATCATAATTGGTCCTATTAATAACACAAAATAACTGGCATTCATTGAGCACTTAGGATATGTTATGCAATTTACGAAACCCTTAAATTCATTCAAGCTTTACAATTCCTCATTTTAAAGACAAGAACAATGAAGTACAGTGCTGGAATTTGATCAAAAAAACCCAACTCTTAACTGCTATTCCCCAAACCCCAAAACACTGCCTACACAGTCCTTTTTGTTGTTATTTCTAAATTAACTGCCAAGAATAAAACT